CCCAAAACAAAAAAAGAATGGGTCGAGTTTAGGGTTTAGGCCTAGCCGACTCAAACTATGTTTGCTAAAGGTGTGTTTGGTAAAACATACCCTTATGTCTTGGCTTGCTAAAGGTGTGTTTGGTAAAACATACCTTTATGTCTTGGCCATAATTTTTATACCCATTTTAGTTTGATAATTGGCCAAATGAGCTCTTTTTTTATATCAGAAAATTTTAAAAATAGTTAAGGATCGCCATTGATTTATATATAGGCCCCTCACATCTTGATTTATTTTTTTCTTTCTATTTAGTATTTTTTTTAGTTATGTGCTCAATCTGTGAACTATTACTATTAAACGCAAATATGTCATGCAATATCAATCTGTGAACTATTACTGTTAAACGCAAGTATGTCATGCAATATTTTTTTTTTTTTAGTTCTATCTAAAAAGTGCAGATAATAATAAATGATAAATAAGAAAAAAATGATATAGAAAATTTCTTCTTCAAATTTATTTTTTATGAAAATATTCATTGATGTCATAGTCAGGAGTATCGTATTTTTTGGATTTGTACGATATTTACCAATGCTAGAATTGGAAATATTCATAGGAATTGTTCACTGATACTAGAGTCAAGAATATTATAGGAAGAATTAAAAAAAGGGAAAAGAAGAACAAAATTCATAGTAATTTTAGACAAAACCAGTAATGTAGTCTACTTAGGTAGGACGCTTAAGGGGTGGTAGCATTTTCTCTTTTGCATAACCAATCCTGTACCATAGAATCTTTGTTGACCAGTTAGAGTTTCTAGTGACTATAATACTAGGTGGTAACTCCTTGAACAAAATATTTTTCTATAAGAGAACAAGATATCAACTATATGTTCTTTTTCAAACAAGAGATAATTTTTAAATGGTCGCCACGACATCTTGGTGTGACACTCCTTACAAAAAAATCATTTTTAAAGCTACATTAAAGACCATGTACAATAACTATTGTAGTAGCCTTCTCAAACTCTAACTTAACATTCAACATAATGTTACTATCCTTGACAATAACTATGATGTTTTCTTTTGGGAATACATCTTGGTTGGCAACATCAAATCCACTTTTAAGTTTTTTAAGCATTAATATTTTATACTTGATTGTTATCAATGAACAGTAAGTTGGTCTACATATTTTTTTTTTAGCTAAAATTTTCCAATACTTCAAAACAATCTTTTAAAGTATCAAATAATTGTCCACTTTTATTGAGAGAGTCCTTGTGAATCCTCATTTAAAGAATTTTTAGGATTTCTGTAATCCTCAAACTTAATGACATGTTAAGCTTCTTTTTAATCAAATCTTGTTAGCTGATTCCAATCCACTCAAGAACTAGAATAATCAAAACAATTTATTTCAATATGATATTTATCCTAATCAAGAAGCTACCTCCTTTGCTTATGAAAAAAGCTTTTCAAAACTAAACATGAATATGTGATTACTATTCTCATTATCCTCTAACATTATCTTAATCATAAGCACTAATCAACTCGATAATTCTTCAACTTGAATTACATTTTTATTACCTCCGGTCAACAAATTAATTTTATAATTTGTCTCTTCATGTCTTTTATTATCATCTCTTGAACTTTTCTCTCCCGAGAAAAACCTCTCCATCCCTTCTTACCTAAAAATATTGTGCTTTATAATCTCTTCCAACCATGATTATATAGTAGCACACAATAAACAAAATAATTTGGGATTGCACCATATAGTAAGCACTAACTTAGGATTTTTAGGCTCTGATACCAACTGACACAAGTAAAAACAACACAATAAAAAAGAAAGAAAAGACAACATGAAATTCTGCTGAATATGGTCATGTCACAAATCCTAATTCAAGATTTTATTACTGAATATTTCACCACACAAATAATCTAATAAAAAGATCATATTACTATTTTTTTAGGCTGCATAGATAATCATAAAAGTCCTAAACAAAGCTGGAACAAAATGATAAGTGCTTTATAGAAAAAAGAATCAAAAATTAAATATAAAAATATAACAAATCCTAGTGACTTTTATTCTTATTTCAAAACCTCCTCGAACTTTGATTTCTGTGAAAATTCAACCCTAAATAAAACAGATCCTCTGAAATCTTCTAGCAAAATCAAAACTTGATTCAATGGTTAGATTGAACCTTATGCTTGTTAATATAAAACCGTATATTAGAAAACAAAATTCTTTTACATCAGTTACCAAGCTAAAATGTTAGGAGAATTAATAGGGTGATTTTTACATTTAAATTTATGACATCAACAAAATATATGAAGATATATAAAAGGTAAATAATCTTAATTGTTAAAATTAAAAACAAAAAAAAACTGATAAAGAAATTTATCTCCAAAACCATTTTTTTTCCATATCATTAGTGTCACATCATCACTAACTTACTCACATTATCACTTAATATTTGTTATAATTGTCACCTCATCATTTAAATAACAACTCAACAAATTTCATATTATACATGCCACCTTTCCAAATTTTCCTTAGGCTCATATCTATTTGAAAACGAATAAATTTTGATACACTCAATTATACAAATTCTTAAAGTGCACACATATAATCTTATCATTTCATTTACCAATTATTAGATATTGTATAAGTTTGCATAGAGTCTTATTTTAATAAGATTGTTTGTTAATCATTTTCTATGACTAAATAGATTTAGACTACAATTCCACTGCAAAAATTTTGAATGTGCACATGCTCAAATTAAATAACTTATAAAAAGAAAAGTTTCAACTAAAAATTGTTAATAGTATATTAATTAAGTATGAGTTCTCTCATGGAACATGTCACTCCTAATCAATAACCATGGCTTTCAAGACCCCACTGGCATCCTCCAAATAGATGTATTTATGGATCAATTGGACAGATCTAAGTCTAACAAGAGATCTAGTCGCTTAAAAAGGGCCATAATTTTTTTTATTTAACTGTTGGATTGTACTTAAATTTTTATAAAAATTTTCACTATAATAATGACTACATTGCTATACATACTATCGAATCTTTAGATATAAAAAGCTCATCGAGGCCCTTGGTTTTGATAGTTTTTGTGATTTTTCATTGTTATTTTTGGATTTCACGTTATGTTTGGATTTTATGTTTTTTTCATTCATAATTTAAGATTTTTATTTTTTATTCCTGATTAAGGTAGGATTTCTTATCTATTTAAAGTTTTGTAAACCTTTTAAAAAGATAAATTTTATTAGTATTATTTAATGAGAATAAGATTATGAATTGGCACTAATAGAAATTTTATGAAAACCAATGAAATTATCGACGGACCTTTTTTCTTGGTAATTTGCAGTAAAATTTACCGATAAATGTAAATCAGTTAGTAAAATCATCGGTATATACATTGTGAGCATATATTTGCAGCTAGTTCTTTTAGGAGCAAAGATGACTTGTCCTTAAGTGCCTATCAAAAAGAGGCACCTACGCCGACTCGTGATGCTACCTCTTCTAGCGTAGTTTCACAATGTAGAGGTGGTGTGGCTTCATAGCAGGGTCGGTCAATTCACCCGTAAATATGAGGCACATTAGAAGGATAACCTTTCAATGTAAATTTGTTTTGGTTAGTTTTTTTTATAATATAATTTGTGAACAACTAATTAAAATGTCATTAATTTTATTCATTTTCATATTCACAAACATTAGGGCCACCCAAGTAATAACATCGGTATTTAAATCATCGATGGAGATTCTATTATTTCAATGGAGTCATGTTTTCAAACATCTTGATTAAAAGAGGCCTTATATCGATGCATGGTTTTCAAGATTTGAGATTGGTATAAATTTCTAATTTTATTTATTTTTAATAAATTATTATTATTATTTAAAATAAATTATTTATACATGGAACAAATTCGACTGGCATAGCGCACTTGATAATATTGCAAGGAGGGTGTGAGAGAATCAAGCAACAACTAGGTAACATCGAAAACAGTACTATATTTTTTAAAAAAATATATGTTTTAAAATCTAATTTCTCATTAACTCATAAAATTCTTTGATGGAAGTCGGTTGCTTGATTTTTGGTAAGAAGTCCATAAACAATTCAAAAAATAAGTCATAGATAACGATCTACAAGGCTGGAATGACGTGACGCGATTTGGAGGGATTTCAGGCAGCCATATATCCCTAAGGATATATGGCCGTAATATATACAGCACATGATGTCTAAGCGGTTCATACGACGCTCATAGTTTGTTGCCAACAACCGGAACCAGAAAATTCATGGTTTGGTGACAACGCACATCGGCGACTCTGTTTCGTTCACTACACATGCAAAACAGATGGTAAGATTAATTTTAATGAAATCTATCATTAATTAATTTATTGTTATTTATAAATATATTTAACTTGAAATATTTTTTTCTTACCAACAATGTCTCTTGGACATGAGCCGAGCCTCATAAAACTGTTTGTGGAAACGTATGTGCAGAGTAAAGACCGTCAAAGGGGTGCAACAATTTATCAATAACTGCGCTCAATATTTCATGGTATATTTATTCAACTATTTTATTTTGTAAGTCATTATTTTTAATTGAATATAATTTTTTTTTTAATTATCTTCTTCAATTATTATGTTTAGCTTACACATGCATCAACTTTTCTATGGCTAAAAAATGTTACAACATGACGAAGTAGATGTGTAACTTATTTGATGGCTGTTAGTATCTTGCATGATAATGGAGAAGAAGTGCACACATAATTGCTCCATTCCATGACGAAGGACTTTCATGTAATTACACTAAAAAGTTTTGTCTTCACTTGAATTCTAGATTAACGTCTCACTTTCACGTTTTGCCACACCCATTTTTTTTTTTTTTGAGGTGATAAGATCCTTGAGAAATGAATGGATATGAAAGACTTAATATTTCATGTCAACAATATATTAAAAAAATGAAAAGAAATTGGCCGTTTCGCTAGATGATCTCTATATAAAGTCACATGAGCAACACCAGAATACCACAGAACACTTGCATTGCTCTAAACAACGTCTCTCTCGCCTCAGATCTCTAGAATGTCGAGCGTTAACTTGGTAGTGATGGTGGTTGGGCTGCTGGTTTTGGCTCAGCAGTCCTTCCAGATGAGTTTGAGAAACCCTGTTGCTGAGACAAACAATTGCAAAATTGATTTCACTCGTTTAGGGCTTGTCTTAACTTCTGATACCAACGAGAAGGCCCTACAAGACTCTGGTCTCTTCACACCTGATGCTGAAACGCCTTATGTTGACATTGCGGGGAGAAGGTTCCACATTGGGACACTTAATGCTCGTTATATTGTATATGTTAAGATCGGGGGAAATTCTGTAAGATTCCTCGTTTCTATATAATCTTTGTTTCTTCATTGCGCTATTTGAATATTCAATATATTACACATATGTTGCTGTCCATTGCTAACTGCAACCAAACTTAGGTAAATGCTGCCATTGCTGTGCAAATCCTCTTGAATAGATTCCGTATTCACGGAATTATTCACTTTGGTAGTGCTGGGAGCCTTGATAAAACAAGTATAGTGCCAGGTGATGTTTCCGAGTTTGCCTACCTTCCAAGCCTAAGATTGTGTTTGGAACTAAGGGCTCCAGTTCTGATTCTTACATTAAAAATAAAGCATATGGAGATTTCCTTCACAAAGCTTTTAACGTCTCAACTGCCGATCAAGAAAGCGCTGCTGTAGCTTGGGTTAGTAAGAGGGAATAACGTTGTTGAACTCAGAAAAGTTTCTCTAGTTCATGTGTTCGGCTAACTAGTTTGGTCATTTGATTTGCAGACATCTTTATCAAATGAAAAGCCTTTCATCGTGATACGAGGTGCTTCCAATGTAGCAGGTGAAGCAAGTTCAGGATCGCAAATTAGCTACTTGGCCTCCTACAATGCTTTCCTTGCCGCAGCCAAGATCATTGAGTCAATTCCCACGCCACGTCTGGCTTGTGAGTGATGAGATTATGTATCTGCTTCTGGGTCGTTTGAGTGCTATGAAAGAGATTGATGACCGATTGCACTCAAATGAACTGAACTGTGTTTGGCCTACTAAATTAAATAAACTCGAATAAAAATGCTATGAACTTTCTCCATTATATAACGTATTCAGCTGTTCATATTTTTTTTTCCGGTACTGGATGATGGATCAATTTAGAATTTTGTTGATCAGACATAAAATGGTGATAACAATCAAATTTTCCTTAATACTCTCGGATCATTGACTTAACGATTAATATGCTATTTTTTTTTGTTTTAATTTTTTTTCAACAAAAAAATACAATAGTTAAGTTCTAAATCTTGAACAAAGATAGATAATAGACTCATGAATAAAATAGCCTCCAATTCTTGATAATGGCCAGGAACCTCGAGTCTTCCCTGTTGAACTTAAAGCAGGCGGAGTTGTTGTACTTGAGCAAAAGCTCAAGTGTAATTTTTTCAAGGAGGCTAACAAAGGCTTTCATTTCTTCCATGTCAAACATCATCGAAATCAATATATATGAATCAATGACACACCTATATGAATAAATTTACAAAATAATAAATTTAAGAAAAATATATAAAAAAAAAATATTTTATTCTCATTCAATATTAACAAGCAAATTATTTTAAAATTTATGTATTTTATGTTAATACATAATTATTTTTAATGAAATTACTAATATTATCATAAAAATCTCTAATTCCCTTAAAATGACTTAATTGGATCCGTAAATATTATTTTAATAAACCAACTTCAAAAGAATTTTATTCATAAAATAGAAAAAAGGAAAAAACAAATTGTTAAGGTAGCTTAAATAGAAAAGCTAAGCTAAAGTTCTTTTTTTTATTTCAATAAGCAGATGATGTGTCATCTTTTAGTTCAAATTTTAATTGTTTTATTTCAATGAGCAGACGATGCGTCATCTTTTAGTTCAAATTCTGATATATTTGATGGTTAGAAAGTGGGGCTTGAGTTTCATATATAACTTTAAAAATTGAATTTTGAACTTATTTTTTCTTGAAAACATCCTAAAAAAATCCTAAAAAATCATGAGAACCTTAATAAATGTATTTATAACATCACAGTACTTTTTAATCACTCTAAGATCCAATAAAATAAAAAATTATTTTACTAGTCTCGATCTACTTTCTCTAGTATGTTTAAAGAAAAAAATCATCTTCAATTAACTCCTTTCTTTAAGAATAACCCATTAACACCAAAATAAATTTTTTATGTGGTTGGAATGCAGTTGAATAAATTATTTCTCACTCCTCTTCTTTTTTTTTCAATGACTTCATCTCTTTTCTCTCGGTAATAAAATAAATCAGTTTGTAATTGAAATATGCAAAATTAAAAGTTCTAGGGACTAGAGTGATTTTTTTCATAAATTATAAAACTTAAAACCATAACCAATGAAAAAAACAAAAGAAGCTATTTTAAATTTTAAATTTAGTCATTGTTGTTTTAAATTTTAATTTGTAATATTGATTTTAATGTCGGGTTCGGGTTGTTTCACACCAAATGGAATATGTTAAAGTACAAAAATTACAACATAATGTATGAGAATATTAGAAATATGTTAATTAATTCTAACACGATAACCTAATCTTTCTTGTAAAGAGCAAAGAATAAACGTGCATGAAGATATTTTGTCTTTTGCTATAATACACTTGTCAATTATTTTATTTAAAATAGATTTTTATTATATTTATTAATTTAAGTATTAAAGATTATCTCATACAAGCAAAGAACTTATTTATAAGATTTTTCACAATTTCATCACCACTAGAAAAAAACATATTCGTCCATCACCGGCGACATGATCGTATAATTCTAACACATGATCGTTTGTACGTGAGCTAGGCGAGCCATCAAAAGACATGCCTTGCGTGGAAGTCTTTCAAGTCGGGGCACGTTTCCGGCAGGGTGTTTAAGAGCCACATAAATAAATGTTTGGCATTCTGATCAGCGATTATTTGTTTTTCTTTTGTGGTGCGTCTTTGTCGTCCTTCCTTTCACTGTAATGCAGGAACGACACCATTTCTGTCATCGTTTTCGGGGGACTGTGGGACCAGGTCGAAGAACACAACATGTTTTCTTCTTTCCAGAGGCGCATGCATTACTTACCATGCTGACAAAAGTATTTAGTACACCGAATCATATTAGATTTACAATAAAATCTTTCGAATATTCAGGGATATTCCAGTAAATAAAATCCCAAATAATAGATAGAGATGAGGTTCTTAACTTCCCGTGGGACTGTGGGCCAAATTTTGTGTCATATATAATTAGCTAATCTTCTGGTAATCTAATTGATTTTTTCTAGTAATAATAACTGGTGATTAATGTCTAATACCAGTGAAATGTAACACACACATTTTGAATCCTGTCCAAAGCAACAATGATAGGGATCCGAGATAACAGGGAAAACAAGAATAGAAAGCAAAACCAGTAATCAACTCACCTTTGAAATAATTCCGTTGAGGTAGTTCCTAAACCTCCATTGCTGCAACCTATAAATCTATTCAATGTCTTTCATCTGCACTAGCAGATAGACGCAAACAAAAAGAGAGTAAGAAAAAAAGAATAATTTGATGGATTAATTTGAGGTGCAGAGAATCAACACCGTACTCAAAGAGCTTCCTTGGCATCACAAGTCGTAGGGACCTCACACCAGATCTCTTTGAGGAACTCACATATTAATTTTTCTAGTTTTGAATACCCTTCGGTCGAAACCCACCTCTCTAAAAACTCTATATCAAATCTTCACAATCAATTTCACACTTGAAAGAAAGAGGGATTAGAGGAGTTTTGTTTTTTTATACTAATTTTATGTCTGACTTAGCTAGCGAGGAACAAAGGTTTTTTTTTTACCATGAATCCATGGCCACCACTAATCTTGAACTAATGTTTATGTGGGAGAGAGGGCAAGAATTTGAGATTAAAAAACCATCTGGATAGCTAGATGTTAGAGATTATAAGTCTCAGGATGTTAATGATGTAAGTATAAAATGTTGGTCTAAGTTTTCATGATTTGATATGAAAGGCTCATTTATATTGAATTTTGATGTAAAGTGCTCATGTTTTTTATTTGCTAGTTGTATGTTTAAGAAGATAATGAATAATATAAAAGAGAAAGGTGTGGCCTTGTGATACATCTTGTTGATGTTTTTGCAGCGTTTGATATAATTCTTAAAAAAAAATTGTAAATTGACAATATTTCACTTATAAGTATATATTTATTGACAGAATTTACACATGCTAACTTAATATATAAAGTATTATTGACTTATATAAATAGTTGAATGTATACAGTAATTTTTAAGAACAACGAAGGAAAGTATTGATGACGGGTGGAATTTTTAAAATGTATTTTTTAATTGAAACTAGTCTCGTAGATCTCTCAAGTAGCTATAATACCAAGTAATAAAAATAAAAACATCATTAACTATGGTAAATAAAAAAACTAAAAAACTGATTAAATCGAAAAAACTAGAAAAAAAATACTTGAAAAAACTAAATCATGAAAAAAATTGATTAAACTGATTAGAAACCGACCGATTTGGTTTGGTTTTGATTTTATAAGCTTGAAACCAAAAAGAAAAAAATCAAGTCCAACAGGAAAAAACCGAGCCAAACTAGAAAAAATCTGAGCCAAACTAAAAAAATAAAGTCAAACTGGCTTGAACTGGTTTCTGCTCTAAAATAATCAAACTGAAACTAGTTAATTTGAATCTGTTCTAGTTTGGTTTTGGTTTTTTGAAAAAAAACCGGTTTCATTATTTTTTTATAAAAACTGAACCGAACTAAAAATAATCACCCCTAATATTAACATAGAATTATACTAAAAAATATAATATGAAATCTTAATTTTATTATTGAATGTTTTATGTTCAGACTATCTAACTTTGTTATAGGTTTACAACTCTCAAAATAAACTTAAAATTTACTTAAACCAACAAGGAAATCTAAGAATAAAAAAATAAGAAAAAATAGGAAAAAAAACATCATAAATAAAACTAGAAAAAAAATGGTTTTAAACTAAATAGAAAAGGAATTTTACATCAATTAGAAAAATATTGCAAAATTCAAAAAATAATTGTTTGAAGTCATTTGAAAGTCTTCCTAACCTATAATTGCTATAAAATACTAACTATATAGAAAAGGTCTCTAAAATCTCCAAGCTAAATTTTTGTTTGATATAACAATTAGATCAAACATTAAGCCTAATAACATAAAATTATGCTTTAAAAAATAAGTTTTTGTATTAGTCACCCTGAGTTGGAAAGAACTCATCGTTAAGTTCAATTGCTTCTGCCCCGATTTCATGACTGTCTAATTAAGACTTTCCAATCTTTTATATGTTTATTTTTTTGGTTAGAAACATCATATCTTATAACAATATGCTCATTCTCTTTAATAAAAAAAAAATCATTTTTAGAGTTACATTAAAGATTATGTATAATAATTATTGTAGTAACCTTCTCAAACTCTAACTTAAAATTAAACATAACTTAAAATTAAACATAACGTTATTATCCTTGACAATAACTAGGATGTTTTCTTTTGACAACACCTAATCCACCTTCAAATTCTTTAAGCAATACTTTATTGTTGTTAATGACTTTTAATACTTGATTGTTGTTAATGAGCAATAAATTGGTCGATAAATTTTTTTATAGCTGGAATTTTCTAATACTTCAAAACAATCTTTTGAAGTATCAAAGAATTGTTCATTAAGAATTCTTGCAAATCATAATTTATAGAATTTTAAGTATTTTTATAATCCTCGAGTTCAAGAAGCTCAATGACATCTTGAGCTTCTTTCTAACCAAATCTTGGTGGTTGATTCCAATTCACTCAAGAACTAGAATAATCAAAATTTTCAATTTCAATATTATATTTATTCTAAGGAAGAAGTTACGATCTTTACTTATATCTCTAAAATAAGTTCTCAAAACTAAACATGAATATTTAATTACTCATTTTACTATCCTTTAATATTTTCATCATAAGCACTAATCAACTAGATAATTTTTCAACTTGAATCTACATGTTTATTATCTCTAGTTGATGAATTAATTTTATAATTTGTCTCTACATATCTTCTATTAC